GTCCGCGCGGCGTCCGAGGAAAGCATGACTAAGAAAGGGGGTCGCTACAAGTATGTGAAAAGGGAGACATACAAACTGTCAGAACGCGATGCCTCGTTCATCATAGGTAAGGTTTCTGCTTAAGGCAGAATCCTGATAGACCAGCCACCCTATGGTGATAGTGAAACCCTTTACCAGCAACCAAGCGGGAAAAGCCGTCATAAATTCGGTCTAACGGTAGAGATGTGCGTTCTCTTTTCTTTTATTGTTCGCCTCCTTTAATTAACCGACTCTTCTTCATCTGGCCGATTTAGCCGACTGAGGGGACTCTTTTATCTAGCTTATTTATCTACGGAAATAATATAACCAGGGGGTATTCTGCACATAAGTGGTAACTTGTCTGCTTTTTTATCTGACCCTCGAAACATCCTGTCCATCGCGGTTGTGCTCCCTTGTTTCTCTTATGATACTGAATGAACGAACCTACTCTTTCTTTTAGCTTCCAGATTACCCGCCAGCCTCGCGTGCCCTGCTTCAAGGCGACGTTCAAACCGCCGCTAAGTTGGCGGCCGCCTTCCTCATCGAGAGTAATTTCGACAGGCTAGAAACCCTCCTGAACGAGGCCAGCGACTACATATTAGATTTCGAAAAATCAGTGCGTTCTCATGGAAAGTATATATCTTAGAGACCCATTAATCTATTTTTTTTTCTAGATGCATCGTTTGTGACATCTTTCAGCTAAATGAATAGTATAAATCTAGCGCACTTTCATATTTGCTAACCTCCATCGCGGTCGGCGCAGAATATTTCTATTTTACACTAAAGAGTAGATTTTACAACGTCTGTGTGAGGTTAGGGTTGCTGTGATGATACGCAAACCGGCAAGAAAGCACAGCTCGACAGCTTTTAACGTATGATGTGGAAAAAACTTCAATTTTTGGACGGAACAGTTATCTCTCCTCATTCAAACAAGACACCATGTTGGCAAATTTTACCTAACTTGACTTCGCTCTCTGCAGCCCTTTTAATCCATTTTTGAAATGCCATGACTTCTTCGGTAGGCGACTGGTCAATTTCGATAGTTTCGTATCCTATCAGTATTAGGTGTTGACGAGCTTGGCCTGAAAAGGCCCCTATTAATCTCCCCTTTACTTATCAGACATTTCGTCACGACTGTTATCAAGACCAACACCAACATGTTTCATCGA